AGAGAAGAGCCACTAGGATGATACCTGAGATAGTGGGATTGTCTTACGATGAGAGACTAAAATCTCTAAACTTGTTTTCTCTGGAGAGGAGAAGGGTCAGAGGGGATTTGATTGAAGTGTTTAAGATTATTAAGGTGCTGGTAATATAGATCCATCAAACTTTTTTGCATTTAGCAGTGAAAACAATAAGACAAGGGGGCATAAATTCAAATTTTGGCAGTGTGGGAGTCGTCTGCAGTTTAGACAGTATTACTTTTCAAACAGGGTGGTTGGCTGTTGGAATGACTGCCTTCAAAGGTAGTGGAAGCAGAAAATTTAATTGAGTTCAAGAAAAGATTGAATGGATACATGAGTAGTAAGGGGTGGTTATAGTTGGGAGTTGGAAGGGACATCCTTGATGGGATAATAAGCTACTTTTTGTCCCTTTAAAATTTTATGAATTTTATATTCTAAAAACAAAAATAATGATAGTATTTAGTCCAAAACATTATAAATTCATTTGGCAAATAGGAAGTGTCTAGATTAGCTTTAAAAAATATATAGCAAAATATTTTTTGACAAAAAAATAAGTTTTTCACAAAATGACCAAATGGCAGTCTGAAGAAAAGGTCTATCATATGAACAAGAGTAATTTGAAAAATTACTTAAAAAACACACATAATAATGTTAATACTATGTTAGAACAATGCAGTAGTTGAAAAGTTACAAAGCTAACACACACCCTTCTTTTTTCTGTTTGTACACATGGGGGAAGACAATCCTTGTCAATTTAATTGATTAATAAACCTGTCAATTAATAGATTAGCAAATACCATAATCGTCCAGCTCTACAGTGATTGGCAGTTCAATATTAAGGATGGTGACAGATAGCCTTAGTGGCTTTATAAAAACAAGCAAATATAGCAGTTCTATGGCTGAAGAACAAGTATGTTTGGTGGCAATGGGAATCGAATCCAAGACCCTCAAATCACGAGTCAACCATTATTATTGCCAGGCCCTAGGGGCCTAAAATTGAATAAACTGGAATCAATCAAAATAATAATAATGAGCATTCATAATGGTAATTGATCAATTACTTGGGTAGTTTGAATAATTATAATCAAAAACACTAATTTGAATTAGTTAATTATTTTGGTGACATTAATTGATTTAATCATAATTTTGATTAATCAATTATATTACAGTACACTAATCAATGTATTCTATGTTCATAGATAATATAAACTTCATAAAAGTTGTTTTGGTTTTAATAACTGATTTTTCCATAACTCAGCTATGCAGATTTTGAAAATAATGTTTTTTTTCATCATGTAAGGATTTTTTACAAATTGGGGAGAAAAAATTCTTACTTAAATCAAGTTACTATTTCGTTTACCACAATGAACATTATTTAACATCATGTGTGTTCTAAAATGATAAATAAGACTCTCACATCGCGAATGGTCTAGAGAAATCTATAGCTAGTAGTTGTCAACATTTTAAGCTGCTACTGTTATAATGTTACTTCATAGTGTTATTCTCTCCTGCTGCTAGTTATAATACTTTATAGTGTTACTCTCTCCTGCTGCTACTGTTATAATACTTTATAGTGTTACTCTCTCCTGCTGCTAGTGTTACTCTCTCCTGCTGCTACTGTTATAATGTTACTTCATAGTGTTAGAGAGTAACACTATGAAGTAACATTATAACAGTAGCAGCAGGAGAGAGTCCTGCTGCTACTGTTATAATACTCTTATAGTGTTACTCTCTCCTGCTGCTACTGTTATAATGTTACTTCATAGTGTTACTCTCTCCTGCTGCTGTTACTTTTTCTTCTGCTACATCATCATTTTACAAAATTGACTACTTTAACAATTCTGGTGGATGTCAGTGTAAAAAACTTACTTGTTTATAGAAGTTTACAGCTTCCTCCTTGTCCTGTTTGAGCACTTTCACAGTGTACTTCAGCTATAACAAAATAATAATTATTTATAAAACACAATAAAGCAGAATACAAAGAATGTTAATACTTTAAATATTCGCTTTATGTTGCAAGTACCTTAACAATGATATAGAGAAACCAGTTTGTCTTGTCTCACATCCAGAAGCTCATTTTTCTTGTATACTGTCAGTGTTTACACACAACTGGTACTAAACAGTTAGTTTACCAAATAATGAAAAATTATGCCAAGAGAACCTACAAATTATTTGGATTTGTGTTAATTTCATTTGAAAATCATACAATTTGAGACAGCATTCATAATCTTCTTTCATAACTCAAGTATCAGAAAAAACTCAAACTATAATTCTTTTATCCTTGTTATATTCTACAACTCTTATTACAGAAATGTTTAGGTCTTCTCAAACCTATGTGATACTTCAAAAAAATGTTTTTTCTTAATATGTTAAATTCATACTCTAAAGCAAAAATTTTAACCATAAGTTAGAAATGTGAAATATTTTATGAAGAAATTTAAGTAGGAGTAAAAATATTTCTCAGAATATATGCGAAAAAACATTGTCATTTTTCAAACAAGGAAATGGGATTGAATATATTCTATTTCATACATCCATTCATCACTCCATTACAAACTTTCATAAACAGGAATATTGCTGCAACATTTTCATGGATCAAGGCCATCTGTAGAGGTATTTGTTGTACAGAAGAAATTATCAATTGGCTGACGTAAACACCATTAATATTTTGGAATTTGTTATGTGGGATTTCTCCTTTTTAGAATATTTCACAATGTTTTAATATATCTCATCCAATGTTTAGCAACGTCACCAATAAGTGAGTATTAATATACATATATTACCCAACTTTTAGTAATGATCAACACTCTGTGGTCTTTATACTTTGACTTCCATCAGTGTTACATACAAAAGAGTTCCCGATATTTAAATCACATCCCAAGAAGAACATCCATATTTCAAGTTATAGTGATAACGTGAGTGATTAATAACTTTGTAAGATTATTATTTTCATAAAAACATGCTTTCTTATACAAAAAAAGAATTAAGCATATTATTTAATCATAAAAGAGAATAATTTTAAATTATTTGTCTTTAACTTCAACACAAAGAAAGGAAAAAGTTCTTGTTTTAAATTATTACATAAGAAATTACATATTTATCATTTACAATTACATAATGCCAGGTTTTGATAAAAAGATTTTGTGAGATAAATAATTTAGGCTTTTTACTCTGCTGGACAAAATGAAGGTAGTATTAATAGCAATTAAAAAAACAGAATATTTCATTTTTAAACCTACCAGTTACAGTGTTTTTTTTCTAAGTTACAAAATAGTCCAGTTGCAATGGCTATCAATAAAATAATATTTTGTCTAAATGAATTCAGAGCTTCAGTTTCACTGTCGTCAGTATGAAAAGTATTATGTTGAATTAGAAGGAAACATTCTTTAAGTTTAAAAGAGAATAATGATTAACACCAAAATAAAAAAATATTCTTCAGAGAAATGGATACTTCCTTGAGTGTGACAATTTAATTAATGTGTTTTCTGTGCAAAGGTTCTATCAAAAGGATGACTTTAAGGCTAGGTTTGCCTAATAAAATATAAATATTGATTGAATAATTTTCCTATTTGTAAAATGTTTTGAGTGATAAAATCGTAAGCATTTCTGTACAAAGAATGTCAGAATGGCATGGTAAATGCAACACCAAAATTTTCTGATAATTTGATTCATCAATCTATGTATGCTGTTTTGATATTCACTAACTACTTATGATCAGGAATAAGATGCAAGATGCAAGCTATAACATTTAATAACTGCATTAAATGAAATGTCCCATGTTAAGAGTGTAAATATACAATGAACTAGAGAAACATGTTTAAGATGTCATGAGTATGAATAAAGCATTCACATACTCAATACTTAAATTAATAAATATAACAGTCAATAAACTAGAATTCATGCAGGTTAATGGAAAAAAATTAAAGGACTTTCTGGGACTAAGTTGTTATTTCCAATGACAATTTACTGATTTTAACAGATTACAAACTCCAATAATGATTTATTACATTTTATAAACATTGCAGCAAGAGCTGTAAATAGTATTCTGGCAAAAAAGGTAACACCTAAGCTATTGAAAAAACACTTATTGAAACAAAAAACTACTACTACTATGGAACAAGTCGTTAAAAAATTTCTAAATACTGAACGAAGCACTAGCAAATTCTACTTCATTTACAATCTCCTAAATACATTTCAACTCTTCCCAGCTTTAGTTTAATAACAAGAAATACAATCTTGTGTCTTACTGCCAACTACTGTGCTTTGACCAGAGTTAACATTCTCCTTACCTGAAAATACAATTCAGATACACCTCTCCAGAAAACTAGGAGTTACTACCTCATGTATCTGCCAAGATTTTTGAACATGCCAAACGCCTTAAATGAAACTCCCACACTTACATGCCAGCTTATGATGTAATCATCATTAGGTTAAGTCCCTCTACTAATAGGAGGGTGACACATTCTCCATGCATAGTAAACCCCAAAAGCACTAGCATTTCAACAAAGTTTCTTTCTTGATGAAACAAAAGAAACACATCTGAAGTGGGGAGGTCAGTATTTACCTGAAATATTAACTTCAGAAATGCTACTCACCACAAAACTAACAACACTAGAGCTCCACATTGATAAGATGGTGGAAAGGGTAATGTAGATAAATTATTACCAAGATGAGCTCCTTTCTGAAATTATAGTATTAGGAAGGAAAAAATTCATGAAGCACGTCACTCACTGGCTGGAGAAATACCAGAATAAGCAGGTACAGGGAGAAATTATCTCAGACCTGCATCCCAAGGAAAACACAAGACCCACCTGGCTGGCCTTACCACAGGGAATGTCTTGGTTCTTAGTGTACTAGGTTGGTCTGTACTACACTTTTAGGTAATACACAAGCCCTACATTCAACTGAAGGGTGAATACACTCAGCCTCATACCTGTAGGATTACACTGACCTGCAGAGGGTCCCAAACTCTAAATCAAAAATGTTCAAACACATGTTTCATATTATGTTATAAAAGAACAGAATTCTGTATTTCCACCCTTTAAATAATGAAAACTTATTTTTATATTTCAATAATTCATATACAACACTAATCTTGCCAACCTCCCGGATTCATTAGGAGTATCCTAGAATCATATATATTCTCCTGGCTCCCAGAAGGATTGCCAAATATCACAGATTCTCTATAAAAAATTTTGTTTGCAAATCAAAACACTTTCATGTCCCATGAAAAAAATAAATAAATAATCACAGAAAAAGAATGTATTACATAGATAGGTTAAAATATTTTTTTTGAAATCCTAGTATATATATATAGTGAAAATAAATATAAATTTAAATATTTCTTACAAAAAAGTAGAATGTTTAATGTATGTATCAATGTTTATGGCCAAAATAATACATACAATGTTGCACCATCTATTGAATGGCAAAATAAACACAAATCAATAAAAAAATTTCATACTTTGGGTATTTAAGATTCAGACAATTAGAAAAATAACTGTGGTATGTGTAACAACCATTTCTCTATCACAGAACACAATTTTAAATAAATGTACTCACCTCAAAACAAGAACACAATTTTCACTAGGACTGTATGTGAGGGTTTGATTATATCTTTATTAAAGTAATTTGTAAATACAGTACTAGAAAAATGGAGTTCTTAAAAAAACTTACATTTTCAATGAAGGGTATCACTTTTAATATATATAAACATTACAGTTTCTATCAGCACAATCCACACACTTTATCCATGCAGTACTTCCCAGAAAAATAATTTTTTTAGAAAATGTTAATTTTTCTAAATATTTTTCAATGAGGTAAGAATATTATGATTAGTAATTACTAGCACAAACAGCTGTCCATAGGGCTGCGTTTCCGCTAGTAAAATTAATGGCAAATCAACTTAAGCTTAAAATTACAAAGGAGTTAAAAGTGCAATTTATTTTTCCATAAGTCATATTGATCAACTTTTTTTGATAATGGCAAATCAACTTCAGCTTAAAATTACAAAGGAGTTAAAAGTGCAATTTATTTTTCCATAAGTCATATTGATCATATTGTTTTTATAATAAGACAAGCTGAGGTATCTGTCCTTTGTCTAGGTTATGAACTCAAAAAAATGTGGAGTGGATGCTGTGATAAATGAACTCAAAAACTCCTAACTTTCACACAATTTATCTGTAACATAACATATTATTACAGTATTCATTATTACCCCACCAAAGGTTTTGTATGAGCTTTAAGAACTCGCTATGTATATACTTAAAACATGGTATACACCATGTGATGGTCAGGGTGACTCTGTATGAAGAGGTAGTAGTACTTTCTGTTACATGCTTTCAACACCCAGCTCTTATTATCCTTCCACACTGTTTCATGTTATTAATTAACTGAAGTGTCTTATGGGATGAAGTTGTAATGTCATGGGTCAAAATAAGAAGTGGGTATAGCTCAAGAAACGACCCTTCATATCAGCATTATGGTGGCTTTTGTAGTACAAACTTCATCTGAGTTTATGTATTATTGCAATAGTGGAAGTCATTTTTTTTCATTGCATTATTCCATAGAGAGTGCTAGCACACTCTCCGAGATATATAAGACATTTGTGTGCTTCCCCCACACTGTGTATGTTGGTAATAGAAAATTTAATGAAGTCCTATTGTTTGGTGTAAGAATGTGGCATCATCTATGAATGTAGTTAACATTAAGTTACATCAAAGATAATAATTGCTCAATAACATCAATAATGGGAGTGGAGGGGGGTTGTGAACCCCCAATAACATGCCCCTTCTTCCAAACTATCATTCCATAAAGTTTGGTTGAGATTGGCCCAGCAACCTAGGAGTAGTTATAAAACAGACAAACAGACAGACACACTGAATTTTGTTCTTTATATATATAGATATTTTGGACTTACTACTATAAAATCT